ACAATACTGCTCAATAAAATGCTATGGATGTCTTTTTCAGCTTTTTATTTCGGTTGCGAACATTATACAGAATTCATAAGACGGATTTCCCTACAATGTTGTAGATGGAGAATGGACAGTTTACAGATTCATGCCAGGTGAAGACCGGTATTAGTCTGGGTTACAAAAACCCTATAGAATCTGTTGTGGGCTAATACAAATATGAAAGTATTTTTACCCAGATAACACTTCAAAAACGTATATAAAGAATACGTTAACAGAAGGCAGAAACTAATAAATACAAAATGTATGGTTTACTTGTTACTGTCAGCATTGTGCATGGTCATAAGTCTAAATATACATCCACTATTGTGATGATGTGGGGGAAATAATTCCAAGGGATGTTAGACATAGATCCAAAGTTTTCGTGTTCAATTGATGGCGGATATGCTGATCGATTTGAGCAATTATGACGCGGAAATATCTATTCACGTGCATTTAGTTTGATGTTTGTACGACACATTTTGAAAAGACAGAACTTTTCATTGACCCTTTTGTGATTTAGTGAGGTTTTATGCATACACCGTTGACCTTGTAAGCTGAGTGCTGTCTCACTAGTTTTGAACAGCTCGTTTGGTTTTGCATTTCAACAGTAATGATTTGTCTGAGAGGAGGATAAAGATGAACTGTCGATAATAGCTAACAAGACGAAAATGCACGTAACACATAAAATATTCCAGAGTGCTCTGTTCTGTATTTTCTAGTTTCAGAATACCATGAATTTCTGTGGTATCTCCGAGGAAGTTCAGCGAATTGGATATTACTTGAGACTTTGTGTGCTAATAGTCCTTTAAGTGCAGAATCGAAATAATGGTTGATTTTCACCCCACTGTCAATCATAAAGCCGTGAACGTTTGTAATTGCAATACGAATTCAAGACATATAAAAGCACGGGTGGAGGGAGGGAAAAGTTACAGACCAGAAGGCATTAATGATGAGGACTATGCCTTGAATTCACTCATCTTTGTGAGGCGGAACATTTCGTTTGTTTCAGGCTCGTAATGATTAAAGACAAGGCAATCAATCAGTAATACTGAGTTTGTTCTCCTATGCTCATCACTCAGACTCATATTTCCAATTTTTTGTTGAAATCACTGTCCTACTAAGATAATCGATAACATCCTAACATAGAATTTTACATTATGACTTATTTGCTGGCATCAGATGAAAAAAGAGAACTTAGAAAAGCTTACAATATAAGATATTGTTATTAGAGTTTCTTAGCACTACACTCTTTTTATACATTTTTCATTCTGATAGACGAACCTTCCTTATGCTTACTTCTACTTCCCTTCCATCTTTTGAACCCATTCCACCTTGTTAGATATCATGACACATTGTTCTCTACCAAATTTATTCGCTTATCTGAAGGCTATAACAACACCTCGCTTTGGCTAGTATGGGTTTTATCTACCAATTTATCATACCTTTTTATGCTCCACTACAAATTGATAAAGATTGTTTGGGGTTTATATTCAAATGCCTTAGAACTCCTTTGTCTCCCTTTTCAGCATTACGCCCTCAAATCCCAGCTATGAAGCTTCTCACGTTTGAAATAAACGTAACGTACGCGTTTTCCAGGGTCCTAATTCATACCTAGCACTCTTAGTATTTACTTAACTACAAATTCAAACTTCTTGAAAGTGGTATTGCAAAAATACTTAGCATCACCAGAGTTCTGAAACGACTTCGAGTTTGAACCTGATGTACGGAATAAGCGCGATGCCATTTTCGAAAAGAATTATAATAACTGCACTCACAGTGCAATACTAAAACATAAACTTTATCATCAACTCTGTGGGACATCTGCATGAATGTGCTGTCTTTTATCTTTATTAATTTTATTTATTTAACAACCCTACATAGGAAGCGTACTGTGAGCAAATTAATGTTGTAAATTAAAAATCATGCCCGCATAAATGGCATGTACCTTCTCTGGCAGAATTATTTTATGTTGTCTATGTGATGTTTTACAGCTTAACAGACGTGAGTAAAAATTCAGGTCGGAAAGGGATTGTCATGACCATTTTGGAGATATCATATACTACTACAGGAACTTGATATTAAGCTTTTACTGACTTGAAAATACTTCCATATCTTTAAGGATAACTATCAAATTTTTTACAACGATAATAACGATTTAGGGCAGTTGTTTGATATGATTACTTATAACTTCTAGTTAGATGCTACACATTGTGGTAATTTTTATGAACAACCATTTCAAAGTCCGGCGTGCGGTAACATTTTCTTTTTCCCCTTCTCACCTTCTTGGTTATCAACCGGACTGTTCTCGATAATATAGGTCATTATGTGTATGATGCGTGATGTTTATAGTTATACATCTCGATTTCGTGTTTGCTTGCTTGCCTCCAGGGACCTTGTAGGGCATTGACTTAAAGTGCTGGTTTGATGTGTTCCTGACCGTGAATAAACGTCAATTATTGCTGGAAAAACTCCATGAGGAGAAACAGCTAAGTCGTTCTGTTTTCGAACCTCCGTCTGTAGGGTTTAATGAGTATGTTATGGTGTCCAAGCAAATCAGCACAAATTGTAGGTAAAGATGCATATAAGATCCAGAAGCTTCAATATGTAAGGTGCTGCAAACTTAGTGTAACTACTAGAATTCCTGTATTTGGTCTAAACTCAGAACTGACTAACCAAAGTTTATTCGATGAGGCCAAAATAAGTTCTGTATAGCGTGCAAAAGGTTTTGAATGTCTCGTATTAAATTATATCAAAACACAAACTCTGTGCTCAACTTGAATGGCTTTATTCCAAGAAGGAAAACAAATAATATCAAAAGTACAGAATACCTCCAACGTTACAGTCTGTTCCACACAGTAAGATGTTTCCTTAGTACAAAATATCGTGCTAAACAGCAAAAAGAATGGTTAGTCAATATGTGTTCTGTAGCTGGGAATCAACTAGAACATTCCTAACAATATGGGATCAAATCTTTATTTTCAAGGACTCGAAAAACCGTTTTCATCGGGCCGTCAAACTTCAACAAGCATTAATTGGATCACGCAGTGACCTTGAGTTTAGTCAAACACGACTCCACTGGCAACATGAAACAGTAAAATTAAGTGATAAAGGCAATTCTTTAACAAAATCCAGGTAATAAAACCCCAGGCAACGAAGACTGACAACTGTAAAATGTGGTTACAAGAGACATTATTAAAAGTAAAATATAAGACAATGAAAAAGAACAAGAAAATAGCAATGCTGTTCAGTGAAACACTTTTGGGGGATTTTCAGCATATTATTTTGTTACCCTAGGTACCGAAATCCCTCTACCTTCATATGGATAATTTTGAATATATTAAGCCATTGCCGTACTAGCTAACTTTCCTACCATAATGGGAAGTGCAGGACTTATAGCAAGTACGCCTGTATACCTATAAACTTGAACGACAACCAGCGGTTATTCAGTTCCCTCCCTAAGACAAAGCCCGAACACTTCCCTTCTCATAAATCCTTCTTCCGTACTTACCGTTACTATTCTTACAAGACCATCTCCATCTACCTCATACTTATCCACTAGCTATGAGCCGAGAATAGTAAAGTCGTTAGCCACCAGCACTATACCATCTAACCAAAAGTTTGCGAAGCCATTTCTGTCTCACTTGCAGTAACAGAACCTATTCTTTCATTCACCGACTCCAGAAGGTATTAAGTACACAGTTTGCCTATCTCTATCGTTCTGAGTACCTGTCCGTAATAACGCAAATAATCCTCAAATTACCAGTCTTTTAGTAGTAGCAGGGTGTTGGGTGTGAGCATCAATTCATCGTTCTCATCAGATGTCACAGGAACGATCGAATAGTTATACGACATTCTGTTACCACAAGGTAAGCTGATAAACTGTCATCGTGTAGGACTTGTTCGTTATAAATGGCTAGCGGGATCCTTTGGACGTGACTTATCAGTTTGTACCAAACTCCTAACTAGTGCGGTGTTGAAATAGCAATGTACCTCGTGTGATGTTGTGAAAACGTTTATCCTGTGTTTGTTCCAGACACTCAGCATTTCTTAATTTAGACGTTGCCGAGACATAATAACGATTTAGAGAGATTTATAATTTCACACTCGGTTTTTTATGCTTCCCGCTGTTCCACTGATAACCAAAGCGCAATGTACAGAGAAAGCTTATCCTTCTTCCTCGTTATTTTGACTTGGAACGACATCTATCCTAACTTGTAGAATTTTGAAAAGGAGACGCTGTCAGCAACATCATAAGCTAAAGCTACGGACAGTGAAAATTCCGAATATTTGAAAGTTTATTGATTTCGAGAAGTTATATATTACCACTGAACAATCTTTTAAACCTGTTACATGGTACTTCCTTCACAATAAGGAAGAGTCGGAAAGGTCGCGTGGGTGTTGTCAGGATTAAAAAATGGAGTACGTTTTTTAGTAATAGGTTATAAGGCGCTAAATCTTTCGTTGGTGTGTCTATAAGAATACAGGGAAGGGATACGAGGTAAACTAAATTCAGCCAATTATATTCAAAGCAGACGGATGTGAAAATATCTTACACAAATCTGATAATAGCTATGAACGTTGAATGCAAGTTTTGATTGGAGCTTTAAGAAAGATAAGCCCGATGGAATTCAATTATCACAAACATGGTGAAATCTTACATTTTTCCAAATCGCTGATTGATTTTGTTGACGACTGCGCTGTTGCCCCGAATACACTATCTTTGGCAATACTACTGGTGACCTGGCGGAGAAATAATATTCTATCTACCAATGCCTTGCCATTGTCTGAACGGCGTTAACAGAGCAGAATGCCCAACCCGTTCCCCCACATCTTCAATACACTGTACAAAGTAGGAATGTTTTATAATTTCCTGGAATCCACTACTAAATAAGTAGCACTTCTGAAGGTGTTTCAACACCATTTTCAACTTTACTCACCTGGTGTTTTAATTAGTCTTTTCACTTATATTTGCCTCCATTGTATCAAATGTACTCGCGAGCGATGTTGTTGCGTACTTCTCGTTACTAGGATCACCAGATTTTCGTGCATGTTTTGCAGTCGTACTATTCAGAAAAGTTTCGTGGAATTAAAATCGCTTGTGGACTATACAAATCGAAGAGAATTCGGTAAGACTGCATGTCACGAACATCAGAGCGTTTCGGACAAGCTCACGGCCCAGCGATCTACTAAAGCTCTAATAGCTGACACACCAGTCAATTGTCGCTCTGTCTATCTACTTCGACTTAATTGTTCCGGCCGACTTGTTGCTGCGGCACACGGAGATCGCTCTGTTTGTGTTTATTGCGCTTCCACTGGCCGACTACTGTTAAAATGCATTGGTCATGAAAAATCTCCTTGGACACTAACTGTAAGTCATACTTTCAATAAGTACTGTTTAATTGGAACTGGGTTTTGGGTAAATGTTTCCATGTGAAGCTCTGTATTAAGAAATGGTAAGAATATGCTCGACCTCCACTTTGGGGAAGCTGCTATAGAAACATCTATGGAAATGGTAAAAAAACCAAAACTTCCATAGATCTAGGAAGTTCCCCAAAACTTGAGAAAAACCCGAAAGTAACGAGACTGAGTGGGTTTCGTTCACCTAATGGTTATTTCAACCCCAGTATTAGAAATGATTGATCCTGTCATGGCAACTAAATTAGCCACTGGCAGTTAAAACTAGGTCCCGTTCCTGGCTGCGTAAAGCAAATCTTTTGATTTAGCACTGCATCGAGTTTAGTAGTCAAACTTCTGTTATCCTAGTCTTTGAGACGTGAGTTTACGTAGTAGGAGCTCCTAATAGTTCTAGTGGGTTGTAACTGACCCCGTCATCGTTCTCGACTTGTGAGCTGTATTCATTGCTCGGTGATCATGTCACGATTTAAGACACCTATATGCCATGAACTGCTGGCCGCACAGCCAGTTTTATATTTCTGTATTTATAGGATATCGTGGTACTTGGGGTAGTCAGTAAGCTGTGTATGGATTCTTCTCCAATTACTGTTAGAGCGGCTAGGTCTTATCACTAACTTCTACAGTACGAGGTTATCGGGCGCAGATGCATCCACTCTTTGTGTTCTCCCAAATTCTAATATTCTGAATTATGTGTCCTTTTTTCTCTTTCCAAATTTATTTCACTGTATTATACTCCTTGGATAACATCTTCAAACCCTAATCTTTCCGATTACTGCTTATACTCTTACTACCTCTACCACTATAGGATTTGAATCGACAAATGCATCTCTGTGCTAATGTGATATGGCAACTCGAATTGATGTACGCACGTACGAAGTTCTACGTTGTTACTGACTGACCAGTATTTCAGCTACATTGTCAAAGCGTATAGTTTTCAAGTCTTAGCTGCAATTTTACCGGTGTCATGGAATAAATTAGTCGAGAACGTTGCTTCTTGCATAATTGCCCACCCTAGTCAAAGTTGAAGCAGATTTTTAAGTTCACTTGACCGCTTGGTTGGTGACTATCGCTCGTTTTTTGTACTACACGTTAACTCGCTACTAAGTTTCTTAGACATGAGGTACTCAATTTCATTTTTCTAATTTAAATATCTTGTTCTTCACTGTTTTCGGCTCCTAAAAGTTCACATGTTACCTGAAAATCAGCTTTCATTGACTAAAGTCATAATCTTGGCAAAGCATATCCCTCTCTAAAATAGACAAATCCAACCTACTTGACTCGAGTCCGTTTTACCAAGTCCTAAAGGTTGGGGTCATGAAGATCCACATTCTTGATAATACATCAGTGAGTCAGCTAGCTGTTGCGCGCTTATTCCGCTTAAAGGGCCTAAGCACATTTTACTGCGTTATCCAGGTTTAGAAATGTGTTCACATCTGACGTTGATAAATTTAATCTTTTTTGATGGTCAGTGATGCGAGTCTGGAGAAGAGGGAAATTGATTACAAATACACTGGTCTTGAGTGCTGTTAGATATATGAGGACGGTCATCACTTCCTGGCCTCCCACACCGTGGAAGTGTTCTCCCAGAGGTACCTGAAGAGGAAATCGGGTTAGGGATGGTCTTAGTGACCTGAGAATCTGACCTCAGTGCTCAAAGGATAACTGCTTGAGGCCGGCCACACACGACCTTTTTGTGAGTAATTTTCGTGTTAGCTCTGCACTTGTTAAAACCTTACCGCCAGAGACGGAAATCCATGGGATAATGTGAGGTGTAGATTTTTAGGGCCGACCTTTTCTTACCCCACTCTTCGTTGTGAGAAGGCAGCATTGCTGTTACACTGGTTGCCTGAAATAAACACCTTACCGCCATCACACCTCTGTACAGTCAACAGTACGACTTTGCCTTGGGCTTGGTACTTTTATTCTTATCGCTCTTCAAACGACCTGTCTGGCATGGTGAGACCCTGAGGAACGATTGTTCTAGCTAGTATATTCCTATTGGTTCATCACAATAGGCAAGCCCGACCACCACGTCAAGATAGCAGTAGCGGTCGGAAGTCTAGGAGGTTCATCTGTTGGAACGTGTTCAGTAGTGGGTAGAATGCAAGTCCAACGTATGGTTTCATAACTATACTGTCGTGTCGTATTTAACGTGTTGTCCTCCATTGCCACTGACTTAAGTTAAAAGCAGACAACAAGACAGTTTATATATCTTTCATGATTTTACCAAAATACAAACTAGCAAACCGTATTTTGTCTAGTTCCTATAGAGTGCTAGTCGTCCCTCATAAAGGATTTATAACAAATCAATGTGCAATCTCTGACATCCTAGCAATTTGATTTTTATTCATTTTGCAGAACAAGTGGTCAAATATTGGGATAAAATCATTTATAAATGCTCACCAACCTGATTAGACAGTCAGTTGCTCGAAAATCTAAATACCAGTGTTCGCAACTGACCAGTTGATATTGTTATCGCTTCAGGGGAAAATTAATTGTTCAAGGTAACGTGAGCTCATATTATTCATCGGAGTGACTGCCTACTAGTTGGCAACACTAAACTGTGTTGTCCATTCGGATCCCAACTAACACTGATTAGAATGAACAAAGTAATGTTACTGATCAAGCGCAACTTAACCAGTTACACAATCCTAGATTCGGTTGTTTATTTGTGTTGGGTTATTTCTGAATTTGCAGTAATGTTTTGGTCCCAAAATACTACATTTAGTTATAATCAAGCTGCCTGATACGGAATGTGGAATACAACACTTGGTTATCCCTTTATTGTTTCATACCCGATTCCCTTTATTATATTAGAGAGCAAAAACAAAGGTTGGTTCAAAATAATGAGTTCATTTTATCAGCTGCTTACAATCTATAATATTTTAAAATCAAAATTACAAATATTGGCATACTTATAAAAACGAGGGTGATTAGAGATAAATATGTATATCGTGATGTAGTGGAAATTCCAACCGAGTTAGTAAGGTCATAAAGATTTTTGTTTCAAACAAATAAATAAAGCTTAAGGGAGGGAAAGTTCCAGAACACCGAACTAATGATCAGCACTTATAGAGTTAACAAACATTAGATGATTGTGTAATAAAGTAACTGAAAACATTAATGGTAATCAAGAAAGATATGAGTTGAATTGTCAGTCATGAATTAAAGAAGAATGGCAAAGACGTATTCAAAACTTCAAGAGTTGAAATAACGAACAATGCAATAAAAAGGATGTTTCAGTTTTCCTGTATTTACTTGAAACCTGAGGAACGTCTAAAAGATGACCTAGTATTTCCGTTTTAAATCCTATTACCTTGTATAAATCTCTTTTTAAATAGTTTCATCCAACACAACCCTTCTTGCTTGCGAGTGGATGCCTTGGTGGCAATGTACGGCTTTGGAATTTAGAGCATTTGGCAGTACTTGGTGATGAAAAAATCGAGGGCATTGTGGAACTATCATCTGTATGCGTTTGGAAGCACACGGGTGCAATCGCATCCCTTACTTTCCATCCAGTTCATCCCATACTAGTAGCAGCATGGTAAGAGATTCCTAAATGTTGATCTTTCAGTCTTCTTTCTGTAACTTCGTATTTACTCATTTGCAGGGGCTAACTTTCTTGTTACCTGTTTGATAGCGTCAGAACTTTAAAGCGGTATTGTTTGGTTGACTAATTTTTTCAACTGGATACAGAACTTTAGTACCCTAAGTGAAAACACTTCGCTAGTAGTGTTTGAAAAAAGGGCTATAAGAAACTCCTAATGTTGTTACATAACATATCCTACTCAGAAAAACCCAGTTCTACCGAAATTTAGATGTTGCACTTTAGCGTTTCGGTTGCGAAAGTTCCTCTGGAAAATCATCTTAGTTAATGACAATTTAGTAGTCAATTATTTACACACCTAAATGGACTATAGTCTGTTCTCTACTCCATTCTTTAAAGTCTAGAGCACACTGTTCACGTTTATCGATGTGGCAGATTTTTAGGTGAGCCCACGAATGGAATTCGGAATATAATATCCTGTCCCCAACTAAATTCCTAGTTTTTTAATTTCTTACTCGAGTTTACTATAAATTTCCACCTTAAAGCAGCTTTTTCTTGTGACAGTTAGATTTGTGTTTAACAGAGAATTAATAAACTTCTTCACCTATAGGACTCAAGAAGTGGTCTTTTATGATTGGGTATCTGGCCGGATACTTTCGGCATGGCGATTTGTATCAAATCATTCACGCGTAAGATGGGTGAAATTCGCCCCTGATGGAACAGTCTTATACACAGCAACCGCCAATCCATCCAACAATGAATCAGTTTATGTACATAAGCAATCTGATCAACCAGTGGTTAGGAGCCCAACAAAAGTAGTAGCTACCAAATACCCGAAAGAACCATCTTATATCCAAGTGGATCATGGTATGTGCTCATCAACTTAACAATCGCATTATTTATCTTATCAGGTTCCACTTTGATACACTAATGTTTCGTCATAATTTTTCATTCTAAACAATCGTATTCATTGTCCTTAAAACGTAATCCTATATTGGTCGTTGCTTTTAAAACTTTCTATGATAATTAGTGTATTTTTATCTTATACTCTAATGGTTAGTGTAGTTGACACAGACTTTTTTGTGCAGTTGTAGCTGCCGCCTTGATTTGATGTTCCGGCTTGCATTTCTCGATGACCTCATCTGGAAATTGGGACGCTTTTATCCCTAGGCCCCATCATCCCGAACAAGTTAGTTGAAAAGTAAAACTAAAAGCAGCAAATTCCTCTGAAGTAAGTTTGTACTGCGGACTGTATAAGTCTATAACAACAGCAAGGTGTTTCGCTCAGACAAACTATCTCCAACCATACAACTGAAAAAGGGATTTAAAAGCTCTACTCTATACATGACACACGTTTCTTCATTTATTTTCATCTTCGGGGTTAAGTCCTTGAAAATACGGAGCTAACTCATCTGAGATTACTCGAATAAGGGCATGTGCATCCGGTTGCCTGTGTTCATGCCAGCGGGTCTCCAAGACTATTCTTAACTTTGTTTCGTCTTCAGATACCTCAAAAAGAAGTATCCTTCCACATTGAGCCACTGCGAAGTAGTGGACTCCTTCATGGCGCTAACAGCACGCTAAATCACTGCTTTCATTATCAGACCCCACATTTATTGCCGAATACTTCTGTTTCCACTATCGTCCCTCATTTACCACTTATTCCTCATGTACAACCAGTACTAACGATTCGAGTTCACGAATTGCTATTCGAATCCCATGTCGAATCGAACAACAGTCGTCACTTACGAAGACCTTAGGATCTCGTGTCATCAAGGTATGCAGTGTCTCCTGAAACACTCATACATGATCCTAGCGTTGTCATTTACTCAACCTCACATGGGCTCCAGTATCCTGAGGGGACAAATGGCGTATAAACCATTCGTTGGTCACCGGCTACCATGGAACTGCATCTCCTCACGATGCTCTACTGCCTTGTGGATCAGACCTTTAGGTCAAAGGCTCCATGTGTGGCCCCCTAAGAAAACCACCTGCTTCGGTTTGGGCACCCGGGCAGTATCACAGCCCTTGCACAAATCAAATGAGATTTGTGTGGTGCATATGCATTTGGTGCCTCCTTGTACCAATATCTATATGTTCAAATAAATAATTAAACGACCTCACTCGGCCACTATGAGGAGCCAATAGAATATACCACATGCGCATCTGAAGACCTGACATCAGTTTGTGATCTTAACCGTGTAGGTATAACACTAAAAACAGAACATCGACTTCTTGATTTGGTTCATATCAATAGTTGCTTATGTGCTGATCGTTTTGATAGCATGGTAAAACTTTGAAAATATGGGGGTACACCGTTGCCTCTTCATAGTTTTTGCCCATGGTCGCACTGTCTGCAGTAAAAGATGAATTTTGCGGGTAAACCTTCAGAAAGCCAGGCTCTCAGATGTGGCAATATTAGCATGTGATTTTAACGCAAAGTCTAACTGGCAGATAACCGTGACCGTTTGTTGCAATTATGCTCAAATAATTGCTTATTCCTAGGAAGTACAAACTCCAAGGATGAGAAAAGACAATCTAACCTGGTATCCCTCAAAGTCAATACAATAGATATAAATAAGTGATATATCCATCGGCTCTCGTTAGAGAGACTTAATACAAGACCACTTCTACTGGAGCACATGTTCGGGCTCTTATCATGCCGTGGTAAAAGCACGCATTTTTGCGCTCTTGACCGGACGTGAATTCACAACAAAAAGACCCTCTAAATATCAATTGAAGGATGAAAAGGTCAAAAATGTATTCACAAAGGGATTGGCTAAAAATCTGGTCTATTGTAGAAAAACGGTTGGTTCTGCAGATACTTGGAGTAATGTTCAGGCAGTTGTAAATAAAGTATTGCATCTATCAAGTGCTCAAACCAAAGCATTTCGAAAGATTAGTGAATTTAGGTGGCATCCGCTGAATTGTTTGAGGCTCAAAAGCTCATCCCAACAAGCTCAAAAAGTGAAGTGATAACTCAAACGCCAACTAACAGAAATTTTGTGTAGTGATCGTGAGCAGTGGTGGACAACAAAATCAGAAGAAACGGAAAAGGCTGGGGCGATTGGTAAATTTAGACGACTCTACCTACTGATCGAAGAAATAGGTGGTAATAACTCGAGAATTATTGAGGCTATCTAAGGAAAAAACCTGACCATTTTGCGCCCTCAATCCAGGAGATAAGACTAATGAGCAGAACACTGTAAGGAATTGATCAAATGCCCTCCAGCTACCCTTCAATTACCAACGAATTTCCTTAACTCTTAATGAGGTTGGGAATACTATAACTTATCAAGAGAGAAAGAAACAGATCATGATAAATTAACTCCAGTAGTGGTCCAGGTTTAGCTGCTGAACTATGGTTCTGCTCAGTTTTGTGATTCCACACAATCCTATCTGATTAGTGACTGGAAGTGAAGTAGTTGAGTGTATTGACCATTACATTTATCTTGGAAGTCTGATCAGGCCTGAAGGGTTGCTTACTTACGCCTGTTACCCCTAATGGAGGAGTATAGGCCGCTCACCAGTATTCTCCACTCAACTCTGTTCTGGGCAATCCTCTCCAGTTGCTATTCATGCTTATCATGTCTTCCGATTCCCGACGCAGTGTGCTCTTTGACCTTCCTCTTTTTCGTTTCCCTTCAGGATTCCAGGTTAGCGCTTGCCTGGTGATGCAGTTTGATGGTTTCCTCAACGTGTCCTTATCCACTTCCAACGTTTTTTTCTAATTTTCTCTTCAGCTGGAAGTTGGTTTGTTCTCTCCCACATTAGGTTGTTGCTAATGGTATCCGGCCAACGGAAGGGTTAGGGTGTCTATATTGCTCCACAATTCACTCTGTAAAACATGGACTTTGAAAGTAGAAGACTTGTGTAAGCTGCAATTTTATTAATCATAGGTGTCTTCAAAGCATTCCTGGTGATTTTTGGAACAACTTAACGAAAAATATGTAGGTTGGGCATTTGGTCATAGCTAAAATGTCAAATTGGTTGGTGAGTTTTGTTATGACTTTATGTCCGGCTTTTTATCACGTGATTTATCCACCAATCAAGATACGACTTATACAATCTTAGCACTGCGCCAAACCAATGACGTTCGACCGATATGAGCAGCCTAGCGTCTTATTTAGTCCTATGTCTGCCTAGCCGGTCCACTTGAGTCCAGAACACAATACCAGCTTCTGCAATATGAATCATTTATTTCAAGCATGCTCGGTTTATATATCAACCAGACGAACCACAACGTACCATAAAATAGAAAATAACATTTGTACAGTATTTGACCAAATGTGGCTGTGAACGTGGGAGTCAGTAGTCAATAAACTGAACATAGCTTAAGAACCGCAAATCGTACAATAATAAATTATAGGTCAAAATAAAGCTTATAATAAGAGGAATATAAAAATATACATGATCTAATTGTTGGATAGTTATACCATAAGAATATATAGATAATATTAGTCAATTAATGTCTCAGAAGTTACTCGTGATTTAATCTTCGCTCGGATATAACAAGTTTTGCAAGTCTTCATCTATTGAAGTGGTTAGAACATGTGGAGTAGGGTATATTGCATGTAATGTAACCATAATGTGTCGCTCAGTGCATCTTTCTCTTCATTTAGTTGTTATGTAAGGTATTTTGTAAACTTTATAAAATAGTTTACACTTCAGCCCAAAAAGTCGTATCATAAGAGAGTCTTTATACCACACCTTAAATTAAGAGCCTCCTTGCACCATGTTGGTTTAATTGGTGGTAGGTTGAAAAGTTTAATACTTTGGTTTGTAGGTAGGTTTTATTTCAATAAAACTGTTTAAGACCCTTTAAAGTCCCAACCGAAGCTGCTACCTTGACGCAGTGGTCGGGCTTGCCTATCGTGATGACCCAACCGAGCTATATTGGCTGGAACATATGTTCCTGTAGGTTCTACCATGCCAGGCAGGTCAATTGGAGAACGGTTAGACTAAAAGCAGCAACTCAAGGTTGGAGGGCGAAGTCGTACTGCTGACTGTAGAGGGGTGCGAAAGCAGTAAGGCGTTTCCCTCGGACAACCAGCATCTGCCGCGATGCTGCCTTCCCGCAAGGAGGGGTGGGGTTAGAAAAGGTCGACCCTAAAAATGTCACCTCACCTTACCTCACGGATTTCCGTCTCCGGCGGTAAGGCCCTTTGAAGAACGGAGCTAACACATTAAAGACCTTCCACAAAAAGGCCGTGCGCGACCGGCCTCAATCAGTTGTCCCTTGGGCTCTGCAGTCACGCTCCCAGGTCATTAAGGCCAACATTAATCCAACTTCCTTTTCAGGTTCCTCAAGAAATACCCTTCCACGGTGTGGGCAGCCGGGAAGTGACATCAGCCCTCTTACCCGTAACAGCACACGAGACCAAGTTGGTCACATTCAAATCCTTCCTACACCTCCTTATACCACTCTTATCTCCCCGACTAACCCTTCTCACGTCCTTTCTTCACCTCGCACTGCTAGGGCAAACGATTCGAGTACGCGGAACGCTATTCCTGGTCTCCTGAAAACACGCGCTTAACTACACATAGGAGCTTTTAACGTCCGAACACTGTGCCAAATAGGACACTAGGCTTCCTTAGCTAAGACTTTAGGATCCCGCGCCATCGATGTATGTTGCGTCTCCGAAACGCGCATACAGGATCCGAGTAGCGTCATACACTTGACCTCACCATGCCGAAATAAAGGACCGACTCGATTCACACTTCGTGTATCTGGAAGCCCTGATCACATCGCTATCAGCCACCGATGGAGGGGCTCGATAGAAGACTGTCGCTCATTCTGGAGCACACGCTTAGGTTCAGATCATGCTCTAGTACAAGCGCGTATCTGTCTGCGTCTTACTGGACGTAGGAGAGACGCTGCAAGGAAACCTCTTAGGGGCCTACTTAATTGATAGTCAAGCTAAGAGTATATTTCAGGTACAACTAGGAAAACAGTTAGGCAGCCATGTATGTGATGCCCACCCCGATGCAGCATGGAACGATATCCGAAAAGCTGTGGAAACAGCAGTGATATCTGCTAGTGAGGTAAACCAGAAGGTTAGGGAGCAACACTGGATCTCAGCAGCATCTATCTCACTGATAGATGCTCGGAAACTCATTCCACCTGACTCTGAACATAATGAAGAGCGGAGTCAGCTTAAGCACAAGCTGAAAAGAAGCCATAGGAAATTTGAAGCGAGGGAGAGCAGCAGGCCCTGACAGGTTTACTCCTGAAATTTAAGGATGGTGGTTCAGTATTAGCTGTGAGATTAACTGAGATCTTAGGTAGAATTTGGGAACTGGACGTAATCCCATCTGACTGGTCTCAACCATTGATTGTGCCAGTCTATAAGAAAAGACAAAAGTCCTCTTGTGACAATCACAGAGGAATCAGTTTGACTAATATAGTGTCTAAAATATTAGCTTTAATAATACTTCGACGCCTAACCAAAGCTCGTGAAGAACGGACGAGAGAAAATCAAGCTGGTTTTCGACCTGGACGTGGTTGTATAGACCACATATTCACACTACGTCAGGTTCTAGAACACAGACACACGTTCAGACGCCCCACAATCGTAGTATTTCTCGACCTTAAAGCAGCATTCGACTCTGTCGATCGTAAGGTTCTATGGTAGTGTTTGTCACTGAAAGGAGTACCAAAGAAGTACATTAACCTTATACAGGCTCTCTACTCGACAAACAACTGGTAAAGTGAGAGCTTATGGCGAACTGTCATCAGAATTGATTACCTCAAGTGGTGTTCGTCAGGGCTGTCCACTCTCTCCATTCTTGTTCAACATTGTGGTCGACGTACTTTTAGAGATAACACTTTCCTCGTCTAGATTTCCAGGGGTTGAACTACCGAGAGGTTCACTTGTTGATTTAGAATATGCTGATGACATCGTTTTATTTGGTAAAGACGCTGACAAAATGCAGTCCTCTGACCACTGTAAGCAACAATGCAAGCATGTTCGGTATGCAATTCTCCCTCTCAAAATGCAAAATGTTGCTTCAGGATTGGGTTGCATTGACACCCGAACTAATGATAGGGAGTGAAGTAGTTGAGCGTGTCGATTGCTCCACTTATCTTGGAAGTCTCATCAGCCCTTGTGGTCTGGTGTGTGACGAAATCTCAGCACGGATACAGAAGGCTCGACTAGCTTTTGCCAACTTGCGTCATTTGTGGTGTAGGCGAGATATCCGTCTATCAACCAAAGGACGTGTTTACTGCGCAGCAGTTCGTTCCGTCCTACTTTATGGCAGTGAAACATGGTCGGTAAGAGTAGAGGATATCCGTAGGTTACTAGTATTTGATCATAGGTGTCTTCGAAATATTGCTCGTATATCATGGGACCATCGAGTAACACAGTTGTTAGGAAACGGGTACTAGGTAAGGATGGCAAATCAATTGATGAAGTAGTGAAACTTCATCAGTTGAGATGGCTGAAACACGTGTTACGTATGCCCAACGACCGATTGCCTCGACGTGCGATGTTCACTGGTGTAGGTGTAGGTTGAAAGAGAGCTAGGGGCGGCCAGACCAAAACATGGCACAAGCCCACGAAGTCACTGACAAGTGGACTGAGTCATGTTGGTAGATGTAGACTACCTGGTTGGGGACCGCGAGATGATAGCAACCGATGGTTAGAGACCCTGAATGACATGGCTCAAAATCGTTTGCAATGGCGCAGGTGCATCCACTCTTTGTGTTCTCCCAAATTCTAATCTTCTGAATTCTTCATGTCCCTTTTTTCCTCTTTCCAAATTTATTTCACTGGACTATACTCTTTAAATAACATCTCCAAACACTAATTTTCCTGATTACTGCTTATACTCTTATTACCTCTACCACTACGGGATTTGAATCGACCACTGCATCTGTGTGCTAATGTGGTATGGCAACTCGAACTGATGTACGTACGTACGAAGTTCTACGTTGTTACTGACTGTCTAAAGTCATAGTTAATTCTGTGATACATGTTTACGAAATCAAACTATTTATCAAAATGTAAACAATCTTTAGCCAAATATACTTGGTCTAGCCATACCTTAGATTAATGGGTAGACTCTGAGACTAGACAACGATTGCTAAGAATGTAAGGATAATAAATGTTTAGGTGTGTTAGTGTCCCATGTTTCATACTGCGACTCATTCAAACCGGTTCTGATGTTTTTTACGAAGATTTTATCCTGATATGAGTCTTAATCAACTGATTGGACAATGGTGTGGTCAAAAAATAATTAACATGCTTGGAAGACATGAAAATATTCATAATGTTATAGATTTCCTATCGTACAGTCTTTAAGACTTTTTAATCTCCTGAAACGAACACAAGAAGGAGAGAACGTGGACGGGGAAACGTCTTGACTTCCAGTAGGGAAGATTAGTGTTCAAACCAGAGATAGGCACAATTGATATTACACGATATCATGGAAAACCAACACAACTTTCGACACAATGAATTAACTTGCCTTTCAGAACATGGAAATCTGAAATATAACCAATTCACCAACATTCTTACATAATGCTAAACCATTAAGAATGTATTCCACCTCACATGGATTAACATTAGCAATACAAACTTAATAAAAAGAAGCAAAACGCAGAACAAAATACAGTGCTGTTAGATGTATGAGGACGGTCATCACTTCCTGGCCGCCCACACCGTGGAAGTGTTCTCCCAGAGGTACCTGAAGAGGAAATCGGGTTAGGGATGGTCTTAGTGACCTGAGAATCTGACCTCAGTGCTCAAAGGATAACTGCTTGAGGCCGGCCACACACGACCTTTTTGTGAGTAATTTTCGTGTTAGCTCTGCACTTGTTAAAACCTTACCGCTAGAGACGGAAATCCATGGGATAATGTGAGGTGTAGATTTTTAGGGCCGACCTTTTCTTACCCCACTCTTCGTTGTGAGAAGGTAGCATTGCTGTTACACTGGTTGCCTGAAATAAACACCTTACCGCCATCACACCTCTGTACAGTCAACAGTACGACTTTGCCTTGGGCTTGGTACTTTTATTCTTATCGCTCTTCAAACGACCTGTCTGGCATGGTGAGACCCTGAGGAACGATTGTTCTAGCTAGTATATTCCTATTGGTTCATCACAATAGGCAAGCCCGACCACCACGTCAAGGTAGCAACAACGAAATACGGCTTCTACAATAGTTTATAGTAATGACGGAAGTTACGTACACCCCGCCACCAGCTTACGCTTCTGACTGATTACTTAGATATGTGACGGGAACGTGTGTCATATGTACTTAGTCACCGTCTACCTTGATGGACCATATAGAGCAGTGTAGGCTTATGCCATGAGAAAACTAGGGACGATCAAATCAATACTCAGCATCAGTTCATGAAGTTATTGGCTACTGAATTGAGTCATGTACGTATATGCAGACTACGTGGTTGTGCTCCACTCGATGAACTCAACCAGTGATTGGAGACGGGTAACATAGCTGAAAATCCTTCACAATAACACTAACATTCGTTCTTTATCTTTTTCTCGATATTTAATCCTAGCATTTCTTCATACGTACCTGCTCTGTCGTCTCATTCCATATTCCCAATGTTCAATTGTTCTCATCATTGTTACTACGCTTTTCCAATCTATTTCACAGTTCATCTTGTCATGCTAATTGATTGTATTAATGTGGGCCAACTCATATTAGTGCCACGCTATACTAACTGATTGGCAGGACAAAAAAATTAGTAGTTCTGAGATTAGATGTAAGGAATTAAATACACATGGTAATTTAGTTGATGAAGCTGTGGATTTTCGTTTATTGAAGTGTCTGAGACATCCTATATGTACTCAGTCATCTCCACAATCACACAATGTTGTGTGGCTTGAGTTGGTTGGGAGGAAGCCAAAGATAGCTAGTTCAATGCGTATCATCAGTCCATTAAGTCGTCATTGACTCTCGTATCAAGCCATTTAATTAGATTTCGAGAGTACTTCATCTTGGCCAACTCGTTAACCGTGATTAATGAATGATATGGTTCAAAGTCGATCTCTGTGGTCCAGATTCATTAATTATTTTTCTTCTTCGACACTTCTAGTACCGAATTTGTTTCATACTTTTTCGCTAATTTATTCCCTTCTGAACCATGTTCTTGGTGTTCTATTTATAACTATCATAGATACCGCCATTTCTTCACTCTTTTGCTGTACTCCATGTTAATTTTACCTATGTGAAACAAAATTGTTTCGGATTTGTGCTCGGTTTATAACTAACTGAAGCACTTAATACGAATTCTTAAAACTTTGTTTCAACAAAACGGAAAACTATGTATTTTTGTTTTTACTTATTCGTCTTTTTTGTAGATGGCGTCAATGTAACTCCCGAAGCCTCATGTGATCTCACAGTACCTCGTGATACTCTTTTAGAATATCTTGTCAATTGTTCTGATTCCTGGTTTCAAAGTCTCGGTATATGTTCCGTTTGTTCGGTTCGTTTATGTCGGTGGGCTGGAACTCTCGGACCTAAATTCCCAGCAACGACGACAGATATTCGCCTTGGGATGTCTGTGGCACAACAAGCCGCAGCTATTATGGCCACCAGTACTTCGTCCAACATGATACCATCACATGTCCAACATCTACTGAACCTGACAAATCCCAATAATCGTTCTGAAGTGTATGAGCGTCTCTGTCGTGATGCTAACCCAGCTGCCGTAGCCATAATTGAAGATATGCCAGTACATGAATTCCTCCGCTCAAGAGGCAACTACTGTCAATCCCCATGGGTTGCAATCTCGAATAACGGTGTATGTTGTGGTGGTCATGCTTGTGATTTGGTGATTACTCATCGCGAGTTAATGCGTCATTCTTTATGCCGACCTTGCCTCTCCTCGTTTTGGTCTTGGGCTAACAAACATATTGCTTGGTGGCGTTGGTCGTTTTCTACAAATGATGAACAATCTCTAAATTCTACGTCAAATGCTAGCAGTACAGCAGGTTGTGTACCAACTCCTATATCCTTTGGAGTAAGTAAATAACAGATTTGTACTTACTAACGCGTAAAAATAAGGTATTATTCCTTTTTACTCTGTAATAGAATTAAAACCAATTGCAACGTCGCCCAACCAAGCTATATGTGCAGATCATAGCTACTGATTACTAACCTTTGATGTATGCAACAACCTATACTTGGAATATACAGTCTTACTTGTCAGTTATATTAAGTTAGTTTTTGCAGTTCTATACGTCAAATAAGTTCTAATAGATTTGTATTTTTAACAAAGACCCCTCGATTTATCATTTTTAATTCGACTAGTAAAGGATAACTCAAAGTAATCTTCTAACCGCTCATCCTTATAAATACAAACTTACGTTCTTGGTCGATGGTTTTCGGGGAAAACATTGACTAGAACTGGTGTTGCAGTTAGAAATTCTAAGGAAGGTAAACACATAAGAAGTCTCTTTGATCGTGTTTTTGGCACGTCTGTTTACCATGTTATTTCAGTACGTGGGATTGAGTAAGAAAGTGACTATCGACACCAAATATGACTTTAATCTGTGAAGTCATCAACGTGATATAAAGAGTAGTTGAGTTCCTAGATAGATTCTTTTAGATAGTGGCTATCAATGGTTGAAAATCGTCAGTCTCTTAATACAGGTTTAGTCACATTGGCAAAAATGGCTTTAATTTTTCCCCTTAAGTCCCAAATACTTTAGTATTGGTCATTAATCTGCGTTGACATATATTATTGCTCGATTATTCTTTTTACCTTATGTATCGTCAACTGTGGTGACTTGAGCTTATCACTTGTGCAAAATTGTAGTTTCGGCTTTCTTTCAGTATGAGTTAGTAATATTAAATTTAGGTTGATTATTTCACAATAATATGATTAATCTGTTATAGATTTAGTTCATTATAGCCTGTGTTTAATACCACGATTTTGGCATCATATTCATTTCATTGTTCTTAATGTTTATCCAGAAAACGAATAATGCGGAAAAGTCTTCTGATATTGAGCCTCCTGTTGGCATTTGCATCCAGTGTCAAGCTAAAATGTCCTTACAATTACAATCATCACCCAGTGTGTCACTGACATGTAATCAATCTCCCGTTTTATCTCATGGAGCTGGTTCTGAACTTAAGGAATCCGACGTCCTGTCAGTTAATGGAAAAACCTCTAAATCTCTCCGCTTAATGCCGCTTGCAGCTTTGGATCTTTTGCGTTCAAGGTTAAGTAATGCTCATGAAGTTACTCCAGTAACTTACGTAGCCACCGACTTAATCAACGATTTTGTTTTCAGTCAACACATTAAAAAACTGTTAATCAATGGCAGTGATTCCGATCTCAATTTATCTCATACCCTGTGGGACTCAAATATTACTATACCTTACAATCAGGTGGGACAGATAGTCGTGTGTGCCTCTTCATCTAAGGTATGTTATTTCCCATGATGACAGTTTCGGTAATTTTTGTATTTAGACTAAGGAATTTTTAAATTAAATATTCAGGAGGTTACTCATCTTTTTCTCACAAACGCACCTTTATTCGTTTGATAATAATAAAAGCAGTAGTGCAGCCAAAATATGCCTTTTTGGTCTCCGTGTCTAGTGTTTTGGATATCGCTGGAGTTGTTGATCAGCATTTTTTCTCCCTTAGATCCACTAAATCTGGGTTTTAAGCTGCTGATGTCAAATATTATAATTACTATTTTTTGACCGTGAGGTGCGATCATTCCATCCATAGATAAGGTTTGTAAGAATATCACCACGAAAATAAAGCGGAGCCAACCGAAACTAAAGAAAAAGTGATCACTAGGTAAATTTGTAATATATGTGTACCGTGCAACCTTATTGGAAATCCTTGTCTATTCATTTTGTTGCTCATACTCCATACACAAATCTCTAACCAGCTAACTATGTATCTCAGTGAAATTTTCATAATTATTGTTCCTAATTTTACCCACTAATACATACCTGTATTATAACGTGATTAGTCACATTAGTTTAAATTCTGCGAATTCATATTTATGATGGGTATTTCGGTTATTACTTGTAATTGTACAAAAGTTGCTACCGAAAATATGTAACTGCTTAGATTCTCCCTAAAACAGTTGTTGCGTTGTTTCTGTAAGATTGCACCCTCAAGCACATTCATCCTGGATTAAATAGTAACGTAAACTAAGCTAGTAGAGATTCGTTTTTTCTTATTGTTATCATTGAACGTAAAAGCATAGTGACGACTTAACAGCCTTCCTACCTGAGCACAACCCTGAAACTAAATAGTTCGGGCTTTGTGTCCAGCGATCCCTAAGTAATCGCTCTTGATAGATAGAAAAAGATTATCTCGGTCATTGATAGGGTTATTTAGGGCGTAAAACATATCTATAGCAAAGGTTCGAGATATGAGCCAAGGCTTCAATGTCACTGCCAAATTCAGTCGATCCATTTGACGCAAGTTGGACAAATAAAGCTCACTCAAAAGGTAGTCCAATGACAATAATTATCTAGTGGCACAAAACGTTTCTTGTGTATAGAAATTTTAAGTGAGAAACTAAATGTATTGAAAAAAACTAATCCGTAGGAACGTAAAACAGAAATATAGTATTGTTTAAATATTGAAATCAGTGTTAATTTCTTTTATCGTTTGTTAATTTGCATGAAAAAATCTCAATTATCTAGATTTGTTTTGATGGTATAGAGGCTCCAAGGCTTAAATCAGTAATACAATTTCATGACCGTTGTTGTCACTCGGCTAAAGCTTATCATTGTTTCCATCCACTGATTAGTATCCTACTCATTGACTAGCAATCAGAAATTCGCTCATCAAAAACCTTTTATAATAGTTGTTTATGATCGTACAATGTAATTTGCAGATTTTAGAATAAAAATGAAACTGCTTTATATTCCTGTACAGTCACTGAATTGCATTGATTTTGTACACAGTGGTTCGTAGACCTATGTATTATTTTCCATCTTTGTAATTATATGTTATTGATTCTATTGACTGTTTGTTAATTTCGATCTTTCAGCGTCGAAAAATGGATAATCAATTTCAGAATAAAATACTTTTTAGTCAGTGTGGTAGTCAATTATCTTTTGACAATAGCTCAATTTTAAAGCCCGTGCTCATGGATTCTGATCCAAAAGATGAATTATTTGGATCTAAACTTCCGAACACTCTTCTAACGTGTAAATATCGTTTGCCGCAGGAGGCCTCTGATTTGGGCGCATACACGCGCGACAACCCTGATAACAATTGGAATTATCCACGTCCTGCTACCGTTCACTACACTTCTAGTGTCATACCTTGGATGTCATCGTCGATTTTCCCGTACGTCCAGACTGGAGCTTCTCTGTTAAGATCTCCCCGCCAACTTACCGATTCTCTTTCGGAATCCACTATTGTGGATCAAATTTCAGGGTTGTCAACTTCTAACAAAGTCTCTGTGAACGATACACAGCATGTCGACAGTTGTGAAACTGATCCATGTGAAGGTAATCCTACATTATGTTTAGTTGGTGTTATTTATAAATCCTATGTTGTTTCTCAAACTTCTTACCCACAAACCCTCTTGGGTATGAATGGGGATTAATATTCATACGGCGAGACTATAATTTATGAACGAAAGAATCAAATATAAGATTAAAAGTTTTGGATTTTGGCGCGAATTTCATTCATCCATTTGCTTAAATAGCGTTTTTGGCATTTCAGATTATGTCAGATCGTGATGAAAAACATAATTCTAGTTTCTCACCATAGTTTGTAACCGTCATTTGGTCCTAGTTAGTATGTGGACATTCTCAAGGTCGCTTCAGCGTCGCTCAAAGGTCTTCCATAAACTATAGTCTCACCATTCATACCTTATTCTCAAAGTTCTAAAGATCTCTCATTTTCTGCCCGTTTTCTGTTACTTCTACCAACTAATCTACCTTCTTCGATTAATTTTTTTCTTTACAACCACACAATACTTGCCATTTATTAGAGTAAACTTCATGATTTGGAGCTTGTAGACGCTTGTCCGTAGATGTGTGCATCGGTGGGTTTCCGAAGCAGTCATGATATTATTAATGTGAATGTTCGCTTAGACTCAGCGAAGTCATTATTTGCTTATTTCATCACTGCGATGCTAGTTAAATTAACAAACTGTTGGGGATGCTAGATCCCCAAAACTCACTTGGGAAACGTCTTATTTTTGTAATTTATTTTGGAAATTTGGATTTCTTGTTTTCGCACCAAAAGCGCCCATTTTCACCTTCATATCGTATTTCCCACTTAAGGGGACATTAAATGTCATTGATGCGTTGTCTCTTTTGATATGTTATTTTGTAACGTTTTCAAGAACATTTTTATGCTGTATATATACGCTTCAGTCGTGCTTGTCCTTGTTCCTATTTATGGGATACATTTTCCCTCTTCTGAACCTGGACTTCTCTCTATTGTTAGTGGGACTGTGACACATCGGATTAGTTAGCTTATTTGGTCATTGTGTCACTGAATCTTCGTTCCATTTGCCGATTTAGGTGATCTCGTAGTCTCTTCAAACATAGCACAAACCTAGACTTTTGTGACCCGTTGTACATATATAATGTTTGGACTCTTCAAACTATTAACTTAACTGTCAGATTGTAGGTTTGAGTTTCCAGGTTAAGGCAATTACTTCTCCTACCCCTCGTGACGAAGCACAGGCCTCCCATCAGCATTCCCCATCGAATTCTATCTTGGACAGTCCTTTCCATTTGCTATCCATCCTTTTCATATCTGCTTCCGATTCTCGACACAGTGTGCTTTTTGACCTTCCTCTTTTCCGTTTCCCTCTAGCATTCCAAATTAGGGCCTGCCTCGTGGTTCAGTTTGATTTCTGTAATGTATGTCCTGTCAACTTCCGTCGTTTAAGTAGTCACTTGTTATATATCTATTTATTTGCCCACTACATCATTTCGTATACCATTGTTAAGTTGCTTTTGTTATCTGTAACGAAATCTTTTAGTTTCAACTAATTCTCATACCTAAAGGTAGAAAAAACATTTCATGAGAAAATAAGAGTTACAACATTTCACAAGGGTAACTTTTTCCGTATATTTATTCAGTTACTCTGCAAGTTTTGCCAGTTCCGAACCTGCATTCTAACTTTTCAGGCGAAGTTCTCTGAGAGGCAAAAAATATGAAAAATAAAGCCTCTAAACAGATATGACAACCGAGATTTTGGAGGTGTTACTTTTTTCAGTCGTGGGTACTGACTGCCAGATTATTAAGGCTCATTTGTATTTACACGATGATTTTAATAACTGCAATTATTTTGTTTTGCCAACTTGTTTGCTTTCAGGACCCAACCGAAGTTCAATGACTGCATGTTGCCGTTGTGGCCGTATTGTTCTTCAGACATTTCCCGTTGATCCACACTCTAATATCAGTGCAGTTGTTTGTGAAAAATTAATTTATTCTGAAAATCGGTACTTAACTCCTAGTTCCCAGAAAGCTCATGGTAACATTCATTCACAATGTTCATCTAACCAAGATCCCCATACTCCCACAAATCATCCTTCTTATCAGTTTGACTTATCGTCATTGAACTCTTGTCCGTCTGGTTCTACTTCTCTGTCTAACCGATCCAGAAACGTGGGGGCTAGAAAGTCGGAAACTGCTGAAAGATCGGTGAATGCCGTGCTTCATCTGATTGACCAAACAGGAAATAATTCTGTTTTAAATGCAGTGAATCGCAGTATAACTGAGGTTATAACAGGTCTCTTTGTTGATATGGGTGAATATGGATCCGCCTCTAGTCTTCAAGTGAGTTTTTATTAATATAGCTGGAGTGTTTTATTGTAAATTTACTTCTTCACCGACCACTGTATAACAAGAATCCCACTACCCATCACTCCAAATTCTGCTAATTAGTTATCACACAAAACTGCTGCCCTAAGAATATGTAATTTTCAAGATTATTCAGATATTCAATTTAAAAAGATCAAACCTAGTAATTTGTTTGAATTCTCAAGTGATATTTATTATTTATTTATTTATTTAAACACATAAACATTGGTACAAGGAAGCACCAAATAGATATGGGCCACACAAGTCACTTGATTTGTGTGTGAGTTCTGATACTGCCCGGGTGCCCAAACCGAAGCAGGTGATTTTCTTAGGGAGCCATACCCCTAGCCTTGGGCCTAAAGCTCTAATCCACAAGTCAGTGGAGCAACGTCAGGTGGTGCAGTCCCATGGTAGTGAGTGGTCAACAATTGGTTCATACCCCATTTGTTCCCTTGGGATTCTGGAACCCATGTGCACAATTGGTTTGGAATCAAGGTTTTCGAATTCCTGTAGGTGGATCCTCCATATCCACCAACCTGGTTAATGCGCCAGACATTCGCTTTTCGTCCTCTCAATTTAGTAAACAACAGTAATGCTGCGAGAAGGCAGTAAGACTTCCCTGACAGTGGTTGTATGCAAGTGGCCATGTCAGAGCATTTTGAGAGAGCTGACTTTCCCCGCTCTCGGCCATACCATGGCATTTGGGGGCTCTCAAGTGATATCCAAATCTACATTCGAACAAGTAAGACATACCTCAATAATTACTCTACTATATACAGTAAATCTAAAGATGAATTAGCTTAATGTATCCTTACAATGAGTTAATCTCATCTCTATACAATATACCTCTTCTTTATAAGTTTATTACATACTTCTATCTTCCCAAAGTACTGTTAACTGTTGCTAGTTTGTTATGTAACTAATCTTCTGTTCTTTTTTCCTTGACAGGATGTTACACATCGTATTTGCCGGTGGGAACTAAGTTTATGCAGTCCTATCTATAATACTCCTTATTTGTCTTCATCTGGTGAACGTGATTCAGCAAGAAGTGTGTGCTTGCCCATGCCAACCAACGTTGCTGTATCATATAATAATAATAGTCTTGTTGTTCCTCACGCTCGTTTGTTTAATGATTCATCTGTCTGTCTCTCACCAGATGGACGCCTTCTTGCTGCATTTGTTATTCCTCGAGAAACATCGTGCTATACATTACAGTCATCTCAGTCTTCCGCTTTACTCGGTACACTTCTCGCTGTGTATCGTCTGCAACCAGAACATAACCGTGGTCAGTGTCTGTTCGCTCGCCGCTTCACCGCATCTAGTCCTGTATGTGTTGACTTCAGTCCTTTAGGAGATTTTTTGGCAGTCGGGTTAGCAACTACACGCATACCTTCAGAACCATTCTCTACCACGAGTGAGTCGTCTACACAAGAAAGTCTTTTAAGATATGGTAGTTCTTCATCGCTCCAGGACCATTCAGACCTCCGTCAGCCAAACGTGAAATGTTCGTGCCAAAGACAATCCTCTGTCGGTAAGTGTTTAGATATTATTACTCTCTACTTTGATTTGAGTGAAATGAGCATATCGGTGGAACAACACGATTCATAATTAAATAATTTTTGTCCTTTGAACAGACACATCCAGATTTTGTAAATTGTACAGTTATTTTAACAAATAGTTCCACTGTCGTGATTTGAAGGTTATTTTGTATCATTTATTGTAATAACTGCAGACAAATTATCTGTAACTGTTACGCTCTCCACCATCTAATGTCCCCTAGATACTGTATTTCTCTCGACTTTTTGCAAACCAGAACAAGCATCGAGGGGGAACAATATATATTCCAATTAACCTGAAAACACAAAGATATAATACTAGTAAGATTATATGGAATTTACATGAGCACCTCTGTTCATTCACTAGCATTGATTGATGGGAAAACGGAGCAATCAACATATTCCGGTGTGAGTCCGATCTCAACAGGGCTAGTCAAAGTCCTATGTTGTGCAAACAATAACAATATGGTTTATCATTAGTAATTTCTAATCAAATAGGTGAAATGCATTTGTAATAAGTGTGTTTTAAAGTTTTACCCATGCATAATAAAGCCAATCTATCCTGGTTCTTCATGAACGTGGCAATAATTTTTTCATTATAATCTTAAACAAGAGACGAATTCAGAATTATTACTGTATGCTGTGGTGGTCGGTATTCGATATATCCCGTAAACTTCGTATACAATTCGTCTTGATCACCGTCCCATTTAACCCCAACGGTATATTATTCAGAAGGCGAATACGAAGCGTTGATTACGTTTATTTCGAGACCACACACACAGATGTCCAAAATTACAGATGCATTAAACGAGCATTAAGAGTTGTGTGGAACGGCAAACAGGCAAGCGAGCGACTGAGCGAATGTAAGTAATCGAGTACAATCAAGCGAGCGAGAAAGCAGAGTCAGCCATATGAATAACATGAACATATATATAGCATGTGAAATTAATGAGTAATCGAATCAAATAAGTGGTTAGTAGTGAGACTAGCAGAGTGAATAAATGCGTAGGCCGTAAGCAATATTCAAGCATGCGTATTTCATACAAGCACAAAATAATAATAAGGGTACAATAAATTGTTATAGTGCGGATAGCTTTGTCCGCTAAATAAGTTAGCAAAAGGGCTTAACTGAGTTAAATGAGAATAAACCCATTTGCACGTGAGTCGCTATAATGCCACTATTTAAGGCGTGATTGGTTTCAATAACAATATCTATCATTTTACTTAGACTTCGTAGTATTATCTTGTTTCGTTTCAAATGTTTGATATCATTTACCATTTACACTATCCTGTTTATAGCCCCTATTTTGTCGTTTTTGCTTGTGCCAGATGAATTTATTAACTGACACTTATAGTTATTGGAAAATCCATTTGTTTAGTAGTCTACTCTGACGGTTGCAATAAGCTTAGATTGATATATGTCAGCTTTTTAAATGTACCATTGATGTTTAAAGTTCGAGTTGGGTATTATCAACCAGATTACCTTACATCTATAATCACAATGAATTTCAGAAATCAGTCATTAAATATTATAATTTTACCGAATCGCGTTATATTATTATGTGTGTCAACTAACTTTCAATATTAAAGATCAATCATTTTTTCACTTTAACTGTATATTAATTTACACTTCACTACCATTTATTATGCATTAAGAGTTCAGTGTTATTTTTTACATATTTGCTCTTAGAATATGGTGATTCATGTTATGTTTTTCCTGTTATTGTGGTATTTTCTTTCATTTCTTCACCATAGCGTGCGTTTTCCACCTTCAACGTTCCAAAACACAGAAGGGTCAAATTCGTCGGAGCCTGCGTGATATTCAAAATATCAAACATCCTGCACTTTTGGATCCTGTCTCATCAAGATATCTTGAATTATCTAGTCCATCTTCAGAAAAATTAGATCGCTGGCACCGGTTATTACTTTCAGCTCAAAGTGGAATCTCTTTGAATACCATTGTTTGGAATGCCAATGGCAGCATTCTTTACGGTACTACCAAAGGTCTCATCGTAATTTCTCATGGAAATCAATCTTCTTCCGTATCAATTCTACCACTCCGTTGTACCAAGTCACATATGCAGTCTGTAAACGACTGCGAAGTTTCTTATAGAAGAAAACACTTTATAAATCAAGCACAAACTATTACTAGTTCCTCTAACTTTTCCGTTCCTCAGTCTCGTGCTGTAATTTAAATACTGACTTTTTAAATCTATGTATATTTAGGTTTACTGTGCATTTAGTTTATCTTAATTTTTGCTCATTTTACTGGTAAACCCATCCGTAATCATATTTCTACTGGATTTAAACAAAAATAGACGCTTTATGGCGATTCCAATCCCACATTCAGAGTACCTATCTTAATTTTCTATCTGGAAACCGGTAGTGATTAAAATAAAAGTTTATTTTTTATAACTCCGTTCCATTTTTTTGAAATATTTAAGTTTATTATACTACAGTTCATATAGTGTTGTTTTCTCACTATGTAAAACAGATTCCCACTAAATCGATCATGTTTGTTTATAAACCTGCTCACTGACTATTCAGGAATTGTTTGTTCACTATATTGTACGATTTTAACTATTTTCTCACTTGCGTTTTACCAAAAGCAAAGATATTTTGTTTCATACTAATCGTTTCATTTTTGTTACGCAGAAAGTTAATATTTATGTTAGAACTTGTTATTATGTGAAAGGTTTACTTCCTTGTGTTTGTTTTCTTTTGTATAATCTACCTCAGCTATGTCCCAGTGATCTTTAATGTTACTAACTCGGTTTTACTTTTATTTTGAAATTCTAACTCATTTCTTACTAAAAATATATATTTCCGGTTTGAGTTTTATCTGGTCTCTTTTTTTATTCATAAACTTATTTTCTTTAATTGAGATTACAAAGTATCTATGATGAATGTGCAACACAGTGAATTCTTTTAAGTTTATGTAAACTACAAGTAACTTCAGTTATGTAGATACTTCTAGTTGTTTCCAATTGTTTTCATCGAAGTCAGTTCTGAACCTTGTAAGTTAATCGTACCTATTGTTATATTTTCTCTCATACAACAGTGAAAAAACGGGACAAGTCACCACTCATTTATTTTATCACATATTTTTGCTAGTAGCTTTACGATTTTACAGGACATATATATCTTTTTAGCTTACTCATTTCGTTATTCTTCTATTCGATTATCATTCGATGGTGGTTAGTGCTTTCCATAAAATATCTACAGTATCCAATTTATTCATTGATCTCGGAAGCCAAAAATATCAAAAACACTTATTCGTCCTGCGTATGCCTGAACACCGATTACCACGACGTGCAATGCTATCCGGTATTGGAGATGGTTGGAAGAGAATTAGGGGCGGCCAAACCAAAGCGTGGCATCAGTACTTGAAGACACTAACTTCTGGTCTGAGCCATGTTGGTAGATGCAGACTACTTGGTTGGGGTCCGCGTGACTTTCGTAACCGATGGTTGGAGACTTTTCGAAACATGGCTCAGAACCGATCGCAATGGCGTAGGTGTATACACTCCCTGTCTTCCCTTAAACTAAGAGATTAAAATTGCTTCATATCTTTCTTTTTACCAACTGATTATTTCTTCCCGTTATACGTTCTTATATGCAATCTTTCTTTTATATATTACCACCTCTGAATTAACTACTTTTATGAATCCGGTGTCCATCTTGTTGTGTTAGTGAGGTATGGCAACTTGGATCGATGCACATATGTGCCTGGTCCTACATTGTAGCTGACTGACTGACTGAGTTGCTAGTTATTCAGATGATCATAGGTACCCATCACGGAGTTACTCATTTCCTAAATATATATAACTTCGTAGGGGAGGTAGTCTGTTTCCTGAGATCCTATGTAGATCCATAGAATCTATAAGAATTGAACCAAGAAATCTTGACCTTAAATAGCTAATGTTTGCTTGTTTTCGTCAAATAATGGACGGAATTTGTTTATTGGTTGTCGACCAAAAATTTCCAACAGCGATTCGTGACTAATTTAGAACCCCCTAACCGGTCCAAATTATTTTGTCGAGAGATATGGACATCGACCGGCTTCATAGTTATTTGATACAACGTTCATTTACATCGACGGTACTCATTCTACGAAGTTAACTTGGTTTTTTTAAGTAATTTATCAGGTATGGATTTGTATACTTTAAGCTACGCTCTAAGTGTTAGCGCTAGCAATACTATCAGGCTCCCTAAACTAAGGTAGGCAACGTGGAGTTCGGGTCTGTGACTTATTGACTGAATTGAACGCTTCAACCATTGAACCACCATCCTTGGTAATGTGCGGTGTAGTTTGCCCTTTATATTTGGGAAATAACCATGTCCATTAGTGTGAATGCGCTCATATAGAAATGCACATTTCTATCGGAAACCTTGGTTAAACAAAAAAAGTTGTGAACCTCACTTTGCTTAACATTAGATGATGTACGTTTACAGTCATTTTTGGAAGGACTGAAATTACTAATATGTAGGAGCGTTTCTGAATTTAGGGATGATCTGAATTAGAGTCATTCTAAAAGTTATGGACTTTTAGTGAAACTAAAAACAGTCACTTTCTGTAAGTCTCGGGATATAAAAATAATACAATCCATTGTCATATCTGGACTCTATCTTGGCTAAGGTTTTCTCAATATGACTTTTTAAAACCGCTCATTTTTCTGATCGCTATATTTAAATATTTTAGTACTAAAGTACATAAAATTCAACTAAAATAGTGTGATGTACAAAAGTGATCGTAAATTTATCGTCAACTGTATGCGATGAATCCGATATTTGAAATCGACTGATCGTTATTTATACATGTGACCTCAAAATGTTAACCCCGAATGACATATATATCGACCTGCTATAAGCAATGGTTAAATACATCAAACAGATCGATCTATAAACAATGAAGTTTGTAATTTGTCTCATCACTATGATATATCTGAAGATTGGTTGTGGTTTCTGTGCGAATGTCTATTCAGTATGTGAAATGAGAAAATTAAGTATTCCTTCTAAACTATTTTCAGGTACCCGACCGTTGTTGCTACCTTGACGTGGTGGTCGGGCTTGCCTATAGTGATGAAGCAATCGAGCTATACTGGCTGGAACAACCGTTCTTCAAGGTCCTACCATGTCAGACAGGTCGGTTGAAGAGCAGTAAGACTAAAAGCAACAAACCCAAGGTCCGAAGGCGAAGTCGTACTGCTGACTGTACAGAGGTGTGACATCAGTAAGGTGTTTCCTTCAGACAACCGGCATGACGGCGATGCTGCCTTCCCACAAGGAGGGGTGGGGTTAGAAAAGGTCGACCCTAAAAATGCACACCTTACCTCACGGATTTCCGTCTCCGGCGGTAAGGCCCTTTGAAGAACGGAGCTAACACGTCAAAAACCTTCCACGAAAAGGCCGTGCGCGACCGGCCTCAAGCAGTTGTCCATTGGGCTCTGCGGTCACGCTCTCAGGTCACTGAGACCACCTCTAATCCAATTTCCTTTTCAGGTAACTGCAGAAGAACCCTTCCACGGTGTGGGCAACCGGGAAGTGATAACCGCCATCATACCTCTAACAGCACTCGAGACCACTGTATTCATAATCAACCTCCCTCTTCAATTCCTATTATTCCTCCTAAATCGACTTTCAACCCTAAACTTCCTCCTCAAGTGTCACCATAGCCAACGATTCTAGTGCTCAAAACTCTGTCCCAGGTCTACTGAAACCTCGCTCCGCACTACACATTGGAGCCTTCAATGTACGCACCCTATGTCAAATCGGTCAACAGGCTTCCTTGGCTAAAACCCTAGAATCTCGTACCATTGATGTATGCTGTGTCTCCGAAACACGCATACAGGATCCCAGTGTGGTCATTCACTTGACCTCACCTCGGCAAAATGGAGAGCCAACGAGATACACCCTCCGTGTATCTGGTGACCCGATGGCCAGTTCTCGTGGACTGGCAGGTGTAGGCATAGCACTAAGCATGAGGGCCGAACAAGCACTGCTAGAGTGGATCCCCGTCAACAGTCGTCTATGTGCTGTTCGGTTAAACGGCTCCGTAAGAACTCGGAAGGATAGGGATACACGTCGTTGCCTTTTCGTCGTTTCTGCCTACGCTCCCACTGACTGCAGCTCAGATGATGTGAAAGATGAATTTTACAGAAAGCTTTCTGAACTTCTTAAGAAAGCTAAACGCTCAGACAGTACTCATAGGGGGTGACTTTAATGCTCAGATAGGTAGCTTAAACCAAACAGAAAGGCATTTAGGTGGATATTTTAGCATTCCAGCACAGCGAACAGATAATGGTGACCGTCTGCTGCAACTGTGCTCAGGCAATCGCTTATTTTTAGCAAACACAAATTTTAAGTATAAGGAGAGACATCGTCTAACATGGCGACCCCCTACACCAAACCAACGATGGACTCAAATAGACCATATTGCCATCAGTCATCGTTGGAGAGGGTCGGTAGAAGATTATCGCTCATTCTGGGGTACCTGCTTGAACTCCGACCACGCCCTAATACGGGCACGCATCTGCTTGCGCCTCACTGGACGCAAAAAAGCCACATTAAAAAGACCCATTAGAACCGAACTGAGAAGCGAGGAAACCAAAAGTAGGTTCCAGGAACAACTGTGGTCACACTTAGGTACTTCTGAAAACGAGGCTGACCCAGTTGTTGCTTGGAAAGATATACAAACAGTTGTGGAAACAGCAGTGACATCTATTAGTGACTTAAACCACAGAGTTACAAAGAAGCAGTGGATTTCTTCAAAGTCTATCACACTGATGGATTCTCGCAAACTCGTCCCATCAGGTTCCGAACATGATGAAGAGCGACAACAAATCAGATCTAGGTTAAGAAAAAGTCTAAGAAACGACCGTGAGCAGTGGTGGGCAACGAAAGCAAAAGAGATGGAAAAGGCGGCGACTATAAGGAACACAAGACAGCTTTACAGACTAATAAAAGAAACTGGAACTAATAAATCAAGTGTAAGTGAGATTATTTCGGAAAAAGACGATACTCTCATCTTCTCCCAGTCCAGACGTTTAGAACGATGGGCGGAACATTTTAGAGAACAGTTCAGCTGGCCTTCAGCGACTCTACAACTACCCTTCATTCCCAGACAGTGTGAATGGAACATTGAAGTAGGTCCCCCAACTCTTGCTGAAGTTCAAAAGGCTATAGTCAATCTGAAACGAGGAAGGGCAGCTGGTCCAGATGGACTGGCTCCAGAGGTCTTTAAGGATGGTGGTCCAATTTTAGCGATTAGGTTGACTAATATTTTAGCTAGGATTTGGGAGTTAGACGTTATTCCATCTGACTGGTCGCAATCACTCATCGTCCCAATATATAAGAAAGAGTCAAAATCATCCTGTGACAACCACAGAGGGATTAGTTTGACTAATATAATATCTAAAATACTAGCTTCGATAATTATCAGACGCTTAACTAAGACTCGTGAACTGCAAACGCGAGAGACTCAAGCTGGCTTCAGACCTGGCGTGGCTGCATCGACCACATATTCACCATTCGTCAGGTTCTAGAACACAGGCATACTTATCGACGTCCGACAATGGTGGTCTTTCTTGACCTGAAAGCAGCATTTGACTCGGTAGACCGCGAGATTCTGTGGCAGTGTCTGTCATTGAAAGGCGTACCCCAGAAGTACATAAACCTTGTAAAGGCTCTTTACTCGAACACTACTAGTCGAGTCAGAGCTTATGGCGAACTGTCATCTACTTTTGCAACCTCAAGTGGTGTCCGTCAAGGCTGTCCACTTTCCCCATTTTTGTTTAACTTCATCATAGATCTACTGATGGAAATAACTTTCTCGTCGA